CAGAATTGAGACATTATACAGATGTGCAACTTGTCTTGACACTATAGATTTCCAGGCCAGCAAATGAAAAAAAACCTTGTTAATAACAGGTTGAAAACAGTAACATGATAACTAATAGTTTTGATATTTTTCTGGGCTGGTCAATTTCCACAGCCATCAGGAGGGCTAAATTTGGCAGTGACGTCATTCATACGTCAMTGATTGAGGTCAGTTGGAAAAATTCATATATCATATGAGATGTAAATCTACAGAAGCATAAATGCATGTGAGGTGAGACTTGAGGCCACACAAGCATAAATTAATGAGATATCACAGCTGAGTGCACTACAAAATAAATTTGTGTGAACAGAGGTCTGAATGCACAAAAAAATTAGAAATGTATTTGGTACCAGACGCCTCCTGTCTTAATATACCTAATCAGCTTTGTTGCACAGTGTTTGAGTGTTATCCATAAAAAATCCGTAATCATGTTTGTTCTCCTGTACAACTAACTATAGAGGAATGATTACTCTTGCGAATGGCAAAAGGCCTGAAATGAAATACTTTGCAGGAAGGTGAAATAGGTTTTTTACTAGAGCTTAGGCCTCAGCAACCCAAATCATATCAGCAATTAAAAGAAATATATTAAATGAGTTTATGCTTCTGCTAGCTTATGTCTGGATCAGCTCACAGAAAGTTACACTCGATTGAAGAATCGTTGTCAGGTTCAGAAACATAGAACATAAAAGCGGAGACGGAAATGGCACATGGGAAATGACATAATTATATTATAATTTATTCATTCGCGCCATCCATGCAGTTGGTTTAGAAAGCGAAATGCATATTCAGAAGACCTGCGTTTGACAGTGGATCATGCCACGGATCGCCAGTCACAGCATGCATCTAATTAACATACTTCCCATGCGTCGTTTCGGTCTCAGCTTCTATGTTCTATGTTTCAGAACCCGACAACGATTCTTCAATTGAATGCATACACATGTTGGCAAAAATGTGATATAAGAAATGTATGGTCCTCTATCACTGAAATTTATATTCCTATTTTGTGCTCAGGCCTTTAAAGTCACACCTTTTATGACGTCAAGTGCAAGTATTTTAAGAGGTCTGTGGAATTATGCCTCAGCTCATACAAAGGTGTGTTCATGCAAAAGATAGTAACAAAGCTTACACAAAAAAAAAATGCATTCGTTGTCTAAAACTAAAAATATATTCTGACTGTATTCTGAAAGCTTGAATAAAAAATGGAAAATTTGACAAAAGATTGCGTGATTACAAAAATGGATGGTGTTTAAGCTTGGGATTCAGTTCGCAAGGTAATGAAAAAGTAAATATAAAAAAGGCCTCCAAAATTAGAAATAATTGAAAGATTTCCTAAAGAATTAGATTATGAAATMTTTTAACAATGAAAAGTATTTGTCCAGCCTCTATATTTTACTGTTCCAACATGTCTTAACATTGATTTATTGCGAATGACATTATTATTTTGTATTATCTTATGCCCTGAAATAARAGGTGTATGTGTTTGTTTGATAATTGACTGAAAATTGGTAATTAATTCATATATAATTAGTTAGCTAAGCWGCTTAGGCCATCCATACAGGTTAAGACCTTTTATCTCGCATGTTGTTATGAAAAAAGATATCATGTGACATATTTTAGAAGGGGAGCTGGGGACTATAAAAACTTGAAGTGCAAAGTGAAACCATTTTAGAAAGATGAAAAGTGCTTCATAGTTCATTAATTAGTTAGAAGAGAGAATAAGAGAAAAATATCAAATGCCCTTTGCGGGAATCGAACCCAACTTCAGATTCGGTTCCCGCCTAGGGCATTTGATATTTTTCTCTTATTCTCTCTATTTCATTACACACACTGAATGCATAATTTATTACTACTATGCTATAAGTATTTAGAAGAGTATTCTTGATTTAAGCAAAAAGATGTAATTGGTATAATTAGRCAATGTAGTCAGGTTGGGTTATTGGAGTATAGCACTGTGGTAGTACTTTAGCACAGTAGTACTGTAGCATTAATGGTAGCACTAGATTGTAGTGCTACAGTACTAGGGTAAGACAGTGGCAACTTGTGGTACAGAGCTACAGTRATACAGTTAAAGAGTAATACAAAACTTAACTGCTACAGTWCTASAGTTGTACAAGGATACAGTGCAACAGTGGTAATGTTGAAGACTACTACATTGCTACAGTGGAAMTGTACTMGAGTGCTTTTCTGCAATAATGCATCTYGGCTACTTTGGGAAATGTTATTGGGTCAGTTATGAAGTGAAATCAAGAAAACTATTATAAATATGAATTTGATGAGGGTTATCATAAAAGCACTACCAGAAGTGCTGCTCAATAAAAGTTAAAGGTTTGCAGGAATTAAAGATGTGGCACTCAATATGCTGAGAAAGAGTTATGAAGATTAAAGATATACATACATTTCAATGACAAAAGTGTGCAGGAATCGCTTGTCTTAAAATCCATATAGAATGATGACCTTGGCATGGGGTGTTTTTTAAAAATAATGGCTATGGGCACAGCTGAAAGAAAAATGTGTGATAAAAATTAAGTATTGTAACCGAGCGGTTAGCAAAATTAATGGATATTTTTTATCTAGTAACAAAATAAAAAATGAAACTAAAAAGAAAGGATGATTGAAGCAGATGAAAAGGTTAGTTACATATAAAGTGTAAMAATTAGTCCTGGTTCCTGAAAATGCTAGGAACTAACATTGACCAATAGAGTGAGAGGACTCATTATCTATGGGAATGGAAAGTATTCAGCAAAAGATATAGATAGAAATAAATTTTGGAATGGTAGTGAAGTATAACATATTTGATTTGAAAAGCCGCCACATTTGGCTACTGGTAGTTTATARCTGATAGGCTAGTAGTAGGTCATGCAATCTTAAAGCAGCATTGATGATAGACCAACCAGTAGTTAGAGTTCACTAAAAAATAATACTGTCTAAGCATATGGAAAGATAAAGGCATCATATATAAGAATAGAAAGAAAGAAAAGTACATATATACATAGAGTGAGATTGATATTTGAAAGCAAAATATTTAAAAGACAAGCACAGAATGCAATGCAGCATGGTAGCAACATAGTAAAAAGTATGAGGGCAGTAAACTYTATGAAATTAGAAAAAA